AAATGGAGGTTTCCATAAATGACAGGAGAATAATTCGAGATATTATCAATTATGAGATGTGGACTTGATCAGTCTGTTTTACATCTCTTGTAGCCAACTTCACTATCTTGTGTTTTTTCAACTACACCAACCGTTTTTACTTTAAACAATCTCACCTTAATGATCGGATGAAGACAGTGGGTATTTCCCCAGACAAATAAAAATAAAAATCTCATATATCAAATATTGAATTCAATTTTACAAATTCCTAATGTGTATCTTTGCCCCATCCTCTCTGTCTAGATTTGAGCTCCATATTATTAAATTTTCTTGACAATATGCTCATTTATGTTTCCCAAGTGTGTAGCACCATGTGTGCACATTATGTATGTATTTAAAGAAGAAAGCAACAAATCACTATTACCAGCCAGGCATTGTGCTGATACCAGATTTCTTTTTCACAAATATGTGGTAATACATTTGTGTTATTTAGACGATTTTTGTTCTATATTTCAAGCAAAATATGTATATGTATTTTTATTTATGAAATCCATACATTTTACTCTCTAACACAAGACAGTGATTACCTTGCTATCTTAAAAATAAATACCAGCTTTGATGTCTTGCCACCATAAGACAATATTACCTTCCTCAAAGCTTTCTTCCCTCTATCTAGGATTATTGATTTCCTTTGCATTTCTGAAGGAACTTTAGTTTGCCTTCAGTATATGCTGATCCCTAGCTGTTACTCTTCCAGCTAGTTTGATTTCCTTCCATTTTACACGGCTAGAGGTTTTAAAAATATTGTTCTTCTGATTAGGAGAATCAAAGGTAAACGCATTTGAGTAGTATCCATCACCAACCGAATATACTCGCTCTTGCAATACCACTGTTATGTACTGATTACAGAATGAGGGTACCATTAGAGTAGCTACCAACATTTGTGGAGACAATTGATGCCTTGATCCTTGCAGTTTCACAGGTGTGGATGAAAAGAGGTATGTGGGGAAAGAGGATAATTAATAATTTGTTACATGGAAGCATTTACTACAGAAAATGAGAAAAAATATATGTGAGTAATTTTTTTTAAATATTTTTTAAATTTTTTATTTATTTATGATAGTCACAGAGAGAGAGAGAGAGGCAGAGACACAGGCAGAGGGAGAAGCAGGCTCCATGCGCTGGGAGCCCGACGTGGGATTCGATCCCGAGTCTCCAGGATCGCGCCCTGGGCCAAAGGCAGGCGCCAAACCGCTGCGCCACCCAGGGATCCCATATGTGAGTAATTTTTATATCTCCCCTGAGTAATGCCCCTAAATTATTCATTGAAAAATGAAAAGGAGGGATGCCTGGGTCGCTCAGCAGTTGAGCATCTGCCTTTGACTCCGGGTCCTGAAATCAAGTCCCACATCAGGCGCCCTGCGTGGAGCCTGTTTCTCCCTCTGCCTCTGTCTCTGCCTCTCTCTCTTTGTGCCTCTCATTAATAAATAAATAAAATCCTTAAAAAGAAAAATGAAAAGGAGACTTTTGTATAGATATTTATACTATGCCCATATGTGTACATCAAGAATTCTTCATAAAGGATCCCTGGGTGGCGCAGCGGTTTGGTGCCTGCCTTTGGCCCAGGGCGTGATCCTGGAGACGCGGGATTGAATCCCACGTCGGGCTCCCGGTGCATGGAGCCTGCTTCTCCCTCTACCTGTGTCTCTGCCTCTCTCTCTCTCTGTATGACTATCGTAAATAAATTAAAAAAATAATAATAAAGTTTTCTCTTTTTTTAATTTTTATTTATTTATGATAGTCACACACACACAGAGAGAGAGAGAGGCAGAGACATAGGCAGAGGGAGAAGCAGGCTCCATGCACCGGGAGCCCGACGTGGGATTTGATCCTGGGTCTCCAGGATCACCCCCCGGGCCAAAGGCAGGCGCTAAACCACTGCGCCACCCAGGGATCCCTGCTTTACTATTATTGAAGACAAAATGCAATGCAGTTTACTGACTCACATCTTGAGCCAAACACTCACCATTTTAACCCATGTCCATACTTTTCTCTTCCTCCTCCAACTGATAACCCTCATCCTTGTCTCTGTCCTTCCTCTTGTGTTTTTGTTTTTGTTTCTGTTTTTTCTTTTAGCACTGCTGCTGGAATGGTATAGCTGAGCAAGAGGACAGATTAAGAGCACCACATCCAGCTCAGGGGAAGGAGACAAAATGATGCTTCCTGAGCTGCCGTCTGTTGCTCTTATTAATGACTGAATATGGTGGCTCCATAATGAGTGTGGGTAGGGCCCTGGTACATATGAGGATCTCCTCCTATGCTCTGACTAGAGGTGTGTCAGTTCCTTCCTAGATGATTCCAGGTTGGGCAGTCCTGTCACCATGATCCCCCAGAAGTGTGATGCCCTTGATGCAGGCACTGTCATGAAGCTTCCCAGCTGGGTCTCTTACAACCTGCATTTTGGAGGCCACATTCTCCACATGAAGGTCAAGAAATTTTTTCTGTCCAGGGACATCTCATTGTTTACTTACACCGACCAAAGTGCTCTCCCTGAGGATCAGCTTATCACACATATCAAGTATTGTACTTTTTAATTCTACAATATTCAATTGAAATTTGTGTATAGATTCCAGCTTACTAGTTTATTCTACATTAGTTCTTATATTTTGTGTATTTTTCTTTCATTTTATTTTTTTAAAGATTTTATTTTATTTATTCATGGGAAACACACATAGAGAGAGGCAAAGACAGGCAGAGGGAGAAGCAGGCTCCATGCAGGGAGCCCGATGTAGGACTCGATCCCTGGTCTCCAGGATCATGCCCTGGGCTGAAGGCAGCGCCATACCGCTGAGCCACCCAGGCTGCCCTTTTTCTTTCATTTTAAATGCACATAGTTGCTGTTGTGTTTTTGTGTGCTCTTGTTCCACCATCTGCATTGTAGGTATAGTTCCCCCCCACACCTTTTCTTTCCTTTCTTTCTTGCTTTAGTAATATGTCATGAATTATGATTCTTAGTATGTGTGGTAATTTTTACTATGTGCAGGAGTTGTGTATAAGACAACCATAGTAGCTCTAGGTGACCCTCTGGAGTTTTCTATCTTTTCTCTGTTAGGAAGATAGAGGAGCTGATTACATACATCTAATCATAGGCTGTGCCAAGTCAGAGGTGAGTGTCTTTTAGTAAATCTTGGGCTAATTCCCTTTCCTTGTGTTGTTCAGTCATGGGCTTGCTGGGCTTTCAGTTATGAGTTTAGGTGACTCTGTTTTAGCAGTCTGAGAGTTTATGGGTGGTTGGCTGTCACCCAGAGGTTCACAACCCAGCCCTCAATCTTTTGCCACGTGCAACAACAAAATCAGGTAAATGTATGATGGGGAAAGAGAACATGAGCTTGAGATAAGCATCCTTTTACTATGCCTTGTGTTCAAAATATAACATGATGTTGGGGATCAATGCCTTTGAGAAATTCATAAAGGATCTCACCAGCATCCCACAAAGCTCTCAGATTTAGCTGTTGTGACTTGGGGAAATCTGATAGGGAAAGGGGTCCTCAATGTCTAATGTTTAGAGTCTATCTAACCCTGTGTAGGAACTAAGACATTGAGGATTTCTCTTTCACTCAGCAAAGGTCCTCCACCTGGGCTAAGCCTAAGGTTCAACTCATACCTGGCATCAGCAGAGACTCAGAGGCTAAAATGTCAAGTGCTTTTCAGAATTATTCTACCTTGCCCAACATTTTAGTTCACCCACTCTAAAATATTGTTTAAAATAAAATTGAGATTTTCCAGGATTTTTCCTTACAGAGGACACATGGCCTGCTAAAATTTACATATCCTACCTGGAACTGTAAGTATCTTCTGCATCTTATACCACAAGTGAAGTTACCAAGGGTGGAATGTCAAGTGTCATTTTTCTTATCTTTTGAGATTTTGAAGTAATTCTACCAGAGTATGAAACATGTCCCCAAGATGGTAAAGGCAGTGGTGTGGAAAATTCAAGAGCTTCTGAAGTCAGACTCCTTCCTGTGTTCTCCATTATCCCAAGACCAGCAAGCAAGGGGGCCTCCCTGAGCCATCCATGCTTCCCTAACAGGAAGTGCAGCTATTGCATGGGAGACTGAGATCAAAGGGAAGAAATGTGCTTATTGGAAGCCACATTTTTGGAGTGAGTCCCATGGATCTAAGACTCTGACCACTGAGGAAATGGTTGGCAAATGGTGCTGAACCTCCGGGATTTGGTGGAGGATTCAGACACTGGGTGTCTAGAACTCCAAGGGTAAGACATTACATAGCTGTGCCAGTATCTCCGAGGCTAACAGTACTGTCGATTCTGGGAATTACCAAAAGAAAAAAAATCTATATGCATATATATTATAAACATATGCAAATGTATATCTATAGATCATTTATAAACATATGCAAGTGTATATCTATAGATCATATATATAATACCATTCTGTCCTTATCTACACTTACATTCATATCTATATGTGATAACATAAAGAGTGTAAGGCACTGCCTCTTCAAGGTGAGAGTCAGTGAGGCAACCCCATCATGAACAACATTCAAAACACTTCCCATGTCCAGTCTCCCTCTCATTTCCACTGTTGGTATAGGTATAAATGGAGGACTCACAAAGGAGAAATGTGACTTGTGGTTTCTTATTCTTTGCATATGAAAGCAGATTACAAAGGGGAATGGTGTTTGGAATTGTCAGACAGTGAGTTAAAGACAAAAACACACCCTCTCCTCGTCCTGCCATTGTTCAGGAGACACAGAATAATTCCATAAAATAAAATCAAGTGCTAAGATTACCTAAAATAATGGAAAAGATAAATGTGCCGAGAATTAGTATATTTTGATTATTGCTCAGCGGCTAGCATTTATGATCTCAAATGATAAAAAATCTCAGGGATTTTCTGTCAGTGATCTGTGATGAAAGCTGTAACCTTTCTCCTGACAGGGTGCTAAAACTTAATAGGCAAGTTCATTTGGGATCGAGTATCTTTTTGGAAATCATAACTCTAGTTTTCATTTACTTCTTGACTAGGTTCAGGTGATTCATTCTGCTGTTCGTTGGGTGCAGGTGAAACATTCTGTTCTTCCTTCTTATCCATTTTTTCCCTTCTCATAAAAAACCAAATTAACAAACAACATAATAAAACTGAAGGCGGCACCAACCAAAATAGTAGCTGGTAAGCCTTCTTTTGCTGTTCCTTCTGTGACACTTCAGTCCCATTTCTTATTGGGGGTGGGCCGCTATCAACACTACCTCCATTGCCTTTTACCTGGCAGCTGGGGGGCTTCCACTTAGGGCTACAATGGCAGTGATGTCTATTGTTGCAGATCCCATTCCTATGGCAGGTCTTGGGTGAACAATCAGTTTTCAAATATGCCAAAGGTATACACTTCCTTTGAACACAGATACGTTCTTCACCACACTCTGTACCATCTTTTACTTCACCAAGATCAGGCAAGGGCATCCCATAGTGGAAATCTGTACCCCAGCAGATGCTGTCATTGAAGTGAAGCCAGTGCAGAGTAGAATGGTCTCTCAGAGTGGGGATTTTTGCCACATCCTGACACTGCACCCTCCCACACAGGGTATCTGAGGTATTACATTTTATAAACTGATTGTTCTTGAGACCACAGTTACCAAAACGGTCACCCCGAATATTCACTGTACTGTAGCAAATCTGACTTGCACTCTTGGCATTTGGGCCAAAAAGTCTGCTACAGAGTTCATCACGGATATTGCATCTCTTTTCATAGCAGTAGCCGCCTCCTGTGCATTTGACTCCATCTTGCACGTACACATCTTCTGGACACTGATAGGATGTCCCATCACACCACTCAGGAAGATCACATTCATTAGCCTGTTCTCTACATACATCACCTGATGGCATGAGCTTGCAGTCTTTGCAACAAAGCCCAAAAGCACAAGTAGCTCCAGGACTCAGAGTACAGTCTAACTGACAACATGGATCTTTTGTACACATGTTTAAGGAGCCACAGTCACACTCTTCTCCTTCTTCAACCACACCATTCCCACAGCGCGTATACTTGAAGATTCTCTCTGGAGTGTGTGGATGGAAGATACATCTTGATCCAACAGCAGTGTGCCAATATTGAGCATAACTGCAGTTGCTGAATTTAGTTGCCTGAGACTGTTCTGCATACATTATGCACACATTGTCTGCACATTTACACGTTTCTTCATCATGCCACATACCCAGAGAATGACCAAGCTCATGTGACACAACAAATGCAAAAAAACCCAAATTATCACTTGTGAAAGCATCCACTGCACAGTTAGTATTATAGTTACATATTGATCCGACATAAGATATGCCAAGAATACCGTATCTTCTTTTTACAAAAACATGGGCAGCATCATGGGGCACACGGGCATTGAAGCCTTTTTTCTTCCAGGCGCAAAATAAATCCACAAGTACATCCATGTTCTCTATTTCAACAGGGTTTCCTTCATTCCAGACCTCCATTCCAACTAAACTCACATCGACATTTAGAGGTTGGTAGAAGGTATTTACGTTGTTCATAGTAGTAATCACTTCCAGCTGCACGGTTGTGACATTATATTCACGATAGGCATATCGATTGTAGTCTACTACCACTGCCATTTCAACATATCTCTTGTGCATCCACAGACCTTCATATTCACTTTGCACCAAAGTGGAATTACTGCTCTCTTGAAACTTCACATGTCGTGCTATCTTTTCATCTGTTAGTCCACACCTCATAGGTGGGAATTGTTTCTCCTCGCTGTACATCTTATATACCAGGTGCTCGAATGTGGTAGAAAGCCTTTTGGGCAAAATTTCATAAAGAATGTGATTTATCTGTAATATTCCTTGAAAGCCCCCAAAACAGGTACTCAGAGAAACCAGGGAATCTGGATCCCCCTCTACATGGCCATGATAATAGCAGTCTTTCCTGATAAATGGCTGGTCTTCAAGAAGAGCACCCTGGTCTGTGTAAGTGAACACTGGGAAGTTTTTGGACAGCAAAAGCTTCTTGACCTTTATATGGAAAACGTGTCTCTGGCCACCAAAATGCAGGCAGTAAGAAAGCCAGCCTGTAGGCTTCTTGACAATGCTCCTGTCTGTTATCCTCAAAGGAATCACCACTTCTGGGGGACCATGGTGATAGAAGTGCCCGACATGGGACCGTCCAGAAAGAAGCAGAAACACCCTCAACCAGAGAATGGGAACAGCGATCCTCACACATACCAGGACCTCACCCACAGCCATTATAGAGCCACCATATTCAGCCATTGGTGAGAGCAAACCAGAGCAGATTAGGAAGCATTACTATTTTTTTCTCCTCCCTCTGAGCTGGAGATGTATGCTGATAAATCAAGTGCAGATATTTAAAGATCTGTCTTCTAGCAGTCACACCATCAGAGCAGCAGCACTAAAAGAAAAAAAAATTAAAAGAATGACAGAGACAGAGGTGGAAGATATAAGCAAGTCAAGATGGAGGATGCAGAGAAGATACGGGTTAAAATGAGCTAGTGTTTGGCTCATGACTCAGTACACTGCATTGCATTTTCTCTTAAATAATTGTAAGGCATAGTGAGACTGGGTATACAAAACTGAGGCAATTGGCCATAGGTTGACACTTACAGAACCTAAATGAAGGACACAATTGGATTCATTATACTGTTCTATAAATATATGAATAGGTATCAACATTTTCACTGTATATTTAGTAAAACAAAAGGGTATTAATGGAAACATGAACACCTATCATGTTTTAATGTAGCAGTCTCAATTTATACATATGGACTGAGTGTGAATACCACTATATAGGTCTTCCTTTAACTTTCAAGTGATAAATTATTTAGTTACATACATTAGGGAAGATATAAAAATTATTCACATATGTTATTTTTTTCTCATTGTCTCTAATATATGCTTCCATGTGACAAATTATTAATTATCCTATCTCCTTCCTGCATTCTTCTTTTCATCTAAGCCTATAAAACTTCAAGGATAAAAGTGTCAATTGTTCTAAAAAATATTGGCATCAAAGCCTAAATTTGTAAGACTGCAAGATAACTAGTTCCTAAGTTTGAAGTAAAATGTATTTATTTCATAAGTTAAAAAAACATATACATATTTTGTATGAAAAAATGAAATAAAACAATGGTGCAACACATTCAGGAAATATAAATGAACATACATGTCATGATATTAGTGGTCTGGAGATATTACTGTTCTTAAAATTGGACAGTGGTTGAGACAAACTAAACATTAGAAATTTGTAAAATGTCAGTACTTTATATATATATATATATATATTGCTTATTTTTATTATCAAGTCAGAATAGCCACAATCTTTAAGAGATTATTAAAGTAATATGAATATTTGAAGTAATGACACCAAGAACTCTTGCTCCAATTGAATAACTAGGAAAGTGAAGTCAGCTATGAGGGATCTAATATAAATTGTTCAAACCATCTCCCACAGTAAGAGGTAATATAAAATTGTATATTTATATTTATAGTATTTTATACTACTTCCCATAGAGGTAATATAAAAATAAAATATACATAATTAAGGACCTATCATCTCCTAGTCCTTGTACCCATTTATGCTTAATCTTTTTAAAAAATCTTGATTCTCCATTCCTTGACCTCTTTTCTGCAGAATCATTGTGTCATGTATGGAATCTTCCTTTCATGAAAAGCAAAGATCGCTCTACTCTAGCTTTTCATGGAAAGTTTCTTATTCCTATTTCATTTTACTAAACACACCAGTCAACAATTCACAGCCAGAGCAGAGAGGAAGATTTCCATCCTCAGTATTCCTAATATGGCACACAGAACAAATGACTGGTCCCAATTTGCATTGATTACCAAAGCCACTTCCAAACCACTAAACTGGTAGCCATCTCATTAGACCACTATTTAACTTCTTTCTTACTCATACAGCAATACCCAAATTCATGCTACATAAACCTCAAGAAACTGAGTGTCTAAATTATTAAAGTATTATCCACCAATAATTTTACCCACATTTTGGGTTTAGTGTGCATGTGGATAACCCATATACACCTCACTTATTTTAGTTTTACAACTCATTTTCAACAACATTTAGCCATTGGCCTATGGCTAAGCATTATATCTTAATATCACCTGCATCTAATTATCAAACTCTAACTGTAACCCTAACCATAACCCTACTCTTAACCCTTATTATCACCCTCCAGGGTCCTGACTCTTACATATTAAAATTAACCACAACTCTTACTCTTATTCAAAACTGAATTCCTTTTTTTTTTAAGATTTTATTTATTGATTCATGAGATACACAGATAGAGAAAGAGAAACAGGCAGAGGGAGAAGCAGGCTCCCTGCAGGAAACCCAGTGCAAGACTATCCCAGGTCCTCAGGATCACAACCTGAGCTGAAGGCAGATGCTCACCCACTGAGCCACCCAGATATCCCACATTCCTTTCTTAATATACTTTCTTTTCATTTTTCCCCACTTTTTAAGTTCCCTTCATTTTAGCTTGTATCCCTATAGCCTAGCTCTAGACTCCTTCAATACAACCACTATGAGCTAAAAGCCTCAACCCTAACTAGGTTAATCCTTTTTCCTGCTTTTGCTGCTCCCATAGAAAAATCTCAAAACTGCTGGGAAAATAAACCACAGAGTATCTATAAGGAAGTTAATGGGTAAAAAGAGGAAACCATAATTAGTTGAGATAACCTAATACTTCAGCCTAAAGGATGAAGTCAGGTATAGATATTTACTTCAACCAATTTATGCTTTCAAAAAATTGAGTTTTGTTGTCCACATTGTTTTTTAACTTTCTGATTTTCCAAATATCCTCATCAATACATAGGACTTTCACCTGAAAATCTCTTGTCTTTGTTTGCACAAGTAATTAATAATTACTGAATTATAGTTACGGTACTAAAACCAATGATTCAACATTTCTTGTATGTCTAATATAGGATTTGATATTTTGTCTTTGCTTTCTTGTTGCAGATAGCAGGCAGGAGACTTACTTCAGGTTAAATATTATCTTCATCATTAATAAGATCTAAATTCCTAGGGCACTTAGATATTTTTCTAGGACTAAATCCCCTTTAGTCCTAGAAATATATTTCACAAAATGCCAAGAAACCACAAAAAGAAAGATCCCTAAATTAAATCTTTGAGGACAACATCTCTAAATTGTGAGTAAAATCCTAATATGCTAATTTGCTTTTTGTTTTTCTCAATATATACTTGGTAATTATTGTGGAGTATAATTATTTAAGAACGACATAGTGCTAGCAAGATGAAATTAATCAATGCAAATCTGTCAGAATTTATTCCTAAGACCTCAGCTTCCAAGCAGGTAATAGGAAAACAAACTCCAAGAATATTTGAGATGGACTGTATTTGTCCTCATAACATTATTTCATGCAATGATTCAAGACACTCTTCCTAAGAGAATATAAAATGTTCATTAATAATTGGGTATAGTGCTATAATAATACAGAAATTTCCAAGTAGATGGTCATACACTATCTTTTATAAATTCATCAAATCCATCGATCTATCTACTCTAATTACCACTTACCCTCTCACTTCCATTTGTAGCCTATCAGTTTTTCCCAAACTATGAGTAACAACCTATTAATACACAATTTTGTTTATTCAACCAAGTAAAATAAGCCAGAATAAGACATAATCCAGGTCACTGATCCTCCTTAAGATTAAAAAATTGGCAACGAATCATGTGGTGTGTGTGTTTGCATGTGTGTACTCATGTATGTACAAATACTATGCTTCTCTCCTTTACAGCTAAATTCTTGGAAGACTTACCAGCAGTAGAATTAATGATTCCCACTATCTTTTCTAACTATAGCCTATCATAGAAAGTTTGTGCTACCTCTTTATGGACAAAGACTTATCTGAAACTTACCTAATAAAGAGTAGTAACAATCCCCTCCCTTTCATCTCCCATTTGATTGTGTTCTAGATTTAACTGCTTAGCAACAAATCTTTCCCAATTCTAAAGACCATGGCAACTGGATAAAAGTTCTACTCTGGCTCCATCATCTTCATCAAGCTTTATTTCTAATTATTCTTCAATATGAATAAATATGACTGTATTTTTTTGTTCCTGTCCTATGTGTTCTGTGCACACAGTAGAAGCACTTTACCTTCAGTACTTTTGCTCATACTATTGCCCACGCCCAAGATAATTTTTTCAACATTGAACCATATTATGAAATACTTGAATTACTTTAAGTTCCAGAAAGCAATTTGACCCTATTTAAATCATTTTACAAGTATTCAAACATCAGGATTCATCTGTAGCTTTCTTAATTATATTAATGAATAATTCAGATATTTCATATCTACAGATAAAAGTGCTTCATCTATTAGGGAGTACTGTTAGTGAGAAAAGGCAAAACAAAATTTAAAAGGAGAGATAAATTAAATATAGTGTGGGTGGTGATGTCAGCAATGTGGTGATGTCAGCAATGTGGTGTATAAAGCATTCTTCATTTATCCCTCCTCCCCCACATTTTTAAAAAATAAATTAGATATCTATACATAAACAAGAGGACTTCAGCTCCTGGAGGAACCCAAGAGAACCTTTGCTCATCTGTGCATCAGAAAATAAACAAGAACTTAGTAAGGATGAATTCAAGGTAGTTAACAAATCTATCCCATCTCCAGTTGCTTTGGTCAAGGATAAAAAAACCTGGCAAGTGCTGCCTGAACAGCAGGGGAGATAAAATTTATAGATTTTCAGCCTGCCATAGTGGAGATTTCAGCATGCCACTGGAGCAGAATAAAAATGAGTTTGAAAACAGTAGACAGAGAGGAGCTCTACTAGAGCTGCCCACCTCCCCAGGTGACACTGCATAAGATTGACCTCTCTGTAAGTGGCAGCAGGGATGTTTCTCACAGAGATGGTGGGAAGAGGTGACCTCCCCAAGGAGTAGTTGGAAAGCAGTGAGTGACTGTAAGATTAATCTAATTGTGGGGGTTGAAACTGGAGAAACCTGTTTTTCTCCAGCAGATCCTGATTTCTGAGAAAGTACCTCATGACTGGAAGCAGACAAAAAAAGGAAAGAAAAGACAATAATTGCAAGGGTCATGAAAGGAACAGTTTCTGCTGTGGATTCAGGACTTTACCAGGAAGTCTGCCCACAAATTTCTGGAAATAACCTGCTGGAGGATATCCCTATCAGCCTGCAGTCACCCTAATTAGAAGAATAAGAACAAAGGTTTTGTTTGGTTAACTCTAGTTAACTGATTG